GTGGTTGGCCCCAGTGCAAGCTTGGTCATTGGTAAACAAAACTGGTCTGCAGAGTGGAAAATTTGAGAGAAATTTGTCACATGGAGTGAGATAAGATAAGATAAGCTTTATTTATCTCACATAGGAGAAATTTGCATGAAGCAAGGACCTGAAATGCAATGATGAATAAACCATAAAGTCCAAGGAAAAACACAAAAAGTTATCAAACAGGGATGGAGGACACGAACTAAAACAAAAGTACAATGACAGAACAGGGAGTGAAGGAACACACAGGGTTTAAATACAAAACTTACAGGACGAGGGTGATACACAATGAGAGCAGGTTATCAGGAAACAGAAAGTTCAACTTTAGAAGCAGAGGGGCAAACAAATTACACAATAAAACTGGAAATAAACCAAGACAATATTCAGCTCAAAATTAATACTTTCTCTTCACTATACTTTGGACTTATTATAGTTACCAGGAAAGATCTTTCAACTGCCTTCCACCACTATGTTGAACTATAGGTTATGTGCAATGTTGTAATGTTATACAGAAGTGCAATTCATCATTTGATCCTGGACTTAAACACGAGGACTAAATGGCAGCATGAAAACTCCTCCAGGCCTCCTCACTGGTCTCTCTACACAAGATGTAAAACAGCTTCAGACTGCAGTATACTCAAAACGGTACAGCTGGTTTCCTGAGTAGAACCAGGAAGTACGATCACATTATTCCAGTTCTCAGGTCTCTGCACTGGTTTCTTGTGGCTCAGAGAATAGACTTTAAAGCAGCTTTGCTTGTGTACAAATCTCTCCATGGCCTCGAACCAAAGACATGTTGGTGCCATATGAACCAGCTGGGACTCTGAGGAGCACAGGGAGTGTCCTCCTGGCGATGCCCAGAGTCAGAACTAAACATGGTGAGGCTAAAATCTGGAAGAGTCTTTGTATCTAACCCTGGTTAAAACAGTTCTGTTTAGCTGTGCATACAACTGAGGGTTTTTATCTTTACTCTTTTTTAATGTATTGTTTTGATGATAATGCCTTGTATAGTTTCTATCTAGTTTTGTTAAAAACTTTGAGTTGCCTTGTACTGTACCTTAAAATGTGCTGTACAAATAAGCTTGCCTTGCCCTGCCTTTCTTTCAAAAGACGTAAGTAAGTATATTAGAGTGAGACACGATCAAACACTTGTAAGGGAGTTTTAATCAGTACAAGCCTTACAATTATGTCGTTGTGCTCTTGTCCTTACAAAATGCTGTCATCCAAAATCCTGCGAAAGTGCGAAGGACATTAAAAGATAGAGTTACTGCACAAGTAGCATGTAGTAATTGCAGAGCTGGTAGTATGAACTTCCTCCTGCATAAGCGCAAGTCTCCAGGCCATATCTTATTTCTCATTCCCCTCACAGGCCTGTCCCCAGAGCCTTTTGTGTTTGATCAGCAGCAGCTCAACTGACCCACATTCACTCTACAGTAACAGAAAGAAACCACTGCATAATTTCTAACCAGTGCTGGTGCTGGTACTACTGTAATACTAGTACTCATTTATTCCACCCATGTTTGACTCTGCATACTGCAACAGTCTGAGTTTTGCTGATAAGGTAGTGCTACTGAATTCACGTACCTTACCAGTCCTATCTATACTACTGCTTCTACTACTACTACTACTACTACTACTGCAATTAAGTTTGTCCAGCAGAGTCTGTTGGACTGTGAATATTTTGAGCCAAAACATGTTATCTTTTGCATAGTCTTTGACCAGAGAGCAGATTGGTTGAGTGAGGGTGGTCCTCGCTTTTCCACTCAGGCCAATAATGTGAGGTTATAGAACCCAACTGTTTTAGAGCCAGAACGTGAGAAGGCTAATCAGAATTCCAATGTTGTGGTTTGAAAGTTAGGTACCCCAGCTTTAAGGGCAGGAAAAAAAGTACAATGTAGAGATAAAAGAACCCAAAGAGAAAAAGCACAACTATTATATTCACTTTCATATTCTACTGCAAGCCATTGCTGAAATATGACCAAATACAGATTACTACTGTGTTCCTGAATACTACAGACAGTGTCACTATATTGCATACTCCCACTCAGTCTTCCCAGTAGCAGCAGTCTCACTCCTCCTCCGCTCGTACCTCTGCTGTCAGACCTGCAGGATACACATGCATATTAAATAGGCCGGTCGCTTTCTAGACATGGGAAGAAAAAGGACAATAGTGCAGTTTGCAGATGACCTCACCACCCAGACAAACAGCAGATATGTGTAATGTACCTTATACCGGATGTCATATAAATGTAAATACCGGGCAAAACTCAATGACGACTCAGTAATTCTATGTATAACGCAAATGCAGCGATTGGCTGTGGTCACATATACACAGAGCCTTAAGTAATGGACCTATGCTTGTTGGCCGAGGTCTGTGCTCTATGAGTTTTTTTTAATCTACTTCTAGAACTGTTGATTAAAGAGATGCCCAGTTGATCTATTAGTGGGGGCGTGGCAAAGGCTCACAAAATTAGTATTCTGACAGAAAGTGTACTCTCCAGACATTTACTTACTTACTTACTTACTTTTACTTAGACCAAAGATAATTCCAAAAATGTGTTGCTAATTTGGTCCCGGCTTCTAATTTTTTAATTTTTGGTCAATATATCATGGTTACATTTAGAGGCTTAAAAATGTACATGTATATACGTGGAGGGCTGTGCTCTATGAGTGCTTTTCTAGTTGATAAACGTCCAAAGAATATTACCAACTTGATGTCCCTGTTAATTTAGGCAATTTAAAAGAGATGATGAACATGCCAAGTCCCCGGGTCTTATACTTTGGTGATGGTGGAAGCTTTGCCGACAACATGGTGATTCTTCCACTGATGAGATGGTGATGGGAAGGAGGTGGGTTGCTGCACAAACACCTGTTTGATGCAAGGAGAGGCCATGTTTACATGCAGTGGTGTTGATGAGAACAGGTGTGTGTCTGAAATGGAGGTAATTTGCTTCATGGCGTCTGATTCTTGTCCCATTTCTATCTTTTGGATTCTATCTCCTCTTTCTCTTTCTGATCCAAAATGAGACTTAAACTCTTAGCAACCCAATATTTTGTCATCATAGGCGTGGTGAGTCTGCATCACTTTCAGTGGGTGATGTCATGGAGCTGGCCCACTAACTGAAGGGTAGGAAGGTCCACCTTTGATATGATGCCATGTGTTCTGTTGTGTCTTAGTGCATTTCACTTTACCTCATTATAGCCCTCATTATGGTTTATGTGTACAAAGACGTACAAAATATGTTTTCAAATTGGGGATTTTGTGCAGTGTACTTATTGCAAAGAAGTATTATTATAGTTTGGGCGGCACGGTGGCTGAGTGGATAGCACTCTCGCCTCTCAGCAAGAAGGTCCTGGGTTCAAATCCCGGTCGGACCAGGGCCTTTCTGAGTGGAGTTTGCATGTTCTCCCCGTGTCTGCGTAGGTTTCCTCCGGGTACTCCGGTTTCCCCTACCACTAAAAATATGTCCAATAGTTCTGGCATGCGCCTCCTCTACTGGCGACCCCGCTCCCATCTCTGTGTGGAGTGAGAGACAAATGCCCAAAATTAACAATTGTAAACCGCTTTGAGACTCAGATCTGCAGTGAAAAGGCGGTATATAAATAAAAACTTACTTACTTACTTACTTACTTTTAGGGAAGATTGAGTTAGGTCTTGCATTGTCTGATGATTCCAGTTTGTCTGCAACCTCTGTTACTCTGAATATACTTATATAGTGACCAGAATGGCATTACGAAACGTCTCTAAACCCACCATTATGATTAATACTCCATAATTACGGCTATAATTACGGTTTATTGCCTGGGATTGATGTGAAAGTATATCGAGTGTTAAATGGTCGACCACACACATTTATGCTGACGCTGCTAATTGTTCTAATGGGTTTTAAAAGCATTATGTTCCCTGACAGCGCTCTGATGGATGAGGCACGTTCATATCAAGAGATGAACACCAATCCATGAAGCCACCGCTATCATTATTTTGCACTGCTTTATGATGTCAGAAAATCTCTTGCAAGCAACTATGGTGGCTCAGTGGCTCAACATAAAGTCACATCAGGCCAGAGTCAGGACAACTCTGACTCAATGCATTTAAAAAAGTCCCACCTATGCTTATCCACTATTGGTCAAAATGAATTCAAATCCTTAAGGCCCCCCTCGTCATTTACATCCTTCACAAACAGGCAATTCCAGAAGTCGTATTCTACTAGTTTAGATTGATGGATTTGTTTATCTGCTCATAATTGCATATTGTAATATCTACTCTCCTTCGTTGAGTTCAGTATTTCGTGTCTTGGATATTTTGATGAGCACCTGTTTTTAGTTGTCTTATCTATTGTACACACTGGGTATTTTTGCACTGATATTCCAATATATGTAATATTTATGGCAAATGGCAAATTAACTGGTACAGTGCCTGAGTGCACGGTGGCTGAGTGGATAGCACTTCTCAGCAATAAGGTCCTGGGTTCGAATCCCGGTTGGAACAGGGCCTTTCTGAGTGGAGTTTGCATGTTCTCCCCGTGTCTGTGTAGGTTTCCCCTACCACTAAAAACATGTACAATAGATCTGGCATGCACCTCCTGTACTGGCAACCCCGCTCCCATCTCTGTGTGGAGTGAGAGGACAAGTGCCCACAATTGTAAACCTCTTTGTAACTCTGGTCTGTGAAAGGCCGTATATAAATAAAGATTACTTACTTACTACAAGTATATTAAGTGTGTTGACAATGGTCAGAAGTACTCTGGAATTAATGATAAGGCTCATGGAACTAAACTAGTACAAATCTACAATTGCACAATGTCATTGAAGTCCTGAATTCAAGTAATTTGACCGTTGTGTTTGACTTCATACAAAGCTATTTCTATAATAAATCATACATTTAATCACTATTTTCACAGCTGTATATTTAGCCACAGCTGTAAGAGACCTTTCATTCAGATATTTGAATGACAAAGATTTCTTTATGTTTTTAGGATGAGATGGAGGAGCTGAGGTCGGAGATGCTGGAGATGAGAGACATGTACCTGGAGGAAGACGTTTACCAGCTCCAGGACATCCGACAGCAGCTGGAACAGGTGAAGACTGCGTTTTTTTTACTCCCACAACAAATAAATAAAGAGCTGTATTATAAGTACATTCTATTTTCAGGCAAACAAGACGTGCCGTATCCTGCAGTACCGCCTCCGGAAGGCAGAGCGGCGATCTTTACGAGTGGCTCAAACCGGACAAGTGGACGGAGAACTGATCCGGACGCTGGAGCAGGACCTAAAGGTGAGAGCGGAGAGAGGCTGGTGCTAGAGCTAGAGGTTTTAGAGTAAGGCGCGTGACATTTGTGCACATTTGCGAACAGAGGTCACCCCGCTCCCAATGAACCAAGGGTCCTTATGTGTTTGTTTTTTATAAATCATTTTTTGGTTCACGTTTCCCTCCTTCTCATTCAACATTTGTGTTAATCAAATAAGTATTTTTCTATCTGAAGTAGGTTCCACAGAAAATAGCTAATATGTTTTTACAAATGAAAATGAAATAAAATGCTAACTATGTGAAAACAAGTTTGGCCCTCTTCAATATGACGATATCTCAAGAAAACAATTACCCACCCTTGTAATAATTTCGTATCTGTTGTTTGCAAATGGAACATTCCAAGACAACTGTTTAGGTTGAAACAAAAATACATTGAATTGAATTGAAGAACATTGTAGAATGATTATCTCACATTTGTCCTGTACGTATGGGACAACAGCAAGAAAACGTATTCAAGCCACCATATTTCGTCTTACTCTAAAACGATTTTGATTCAATTTGTTTCAAAAGCCTTATTCCTTCTGCAAAAAAAAACACAGGAAGTTTGATCAAAAACCCTGAATCTCTCTTTCTTTACTGAGCAACACAAGCTGGTGTGTCCAAACGTCTTTGCATTTAACCCGCCTTGCAACCCTGTGTGGTCAGCACGAACGCTCTGACCAAATATAGGGGTAAACTTTTTTAAAGCCTGACGCTTTTTTGGAAGATTTATTTAGCTTTTTTGGACCCTATTTTTTAGACCCGCTCCTGTCTGTCCGGTGGGTGGTGAAAAGCAAAAAATGGGTCCAAACAACACGCTGACCATTCCCACTCTTGTCCCCACGTGTCAAAAAACAGGGCAGCAGTGGGAAAAAATATTTATACTCCATTTCTGTAAACAAAGACATGTAGGGACTAACATCAGTCAAACGCTTACTGAGCCTGGATTGGATCATGACGCATTTGTACCAGACAGTTTTAATCCAGGACTAACCCAGAGGTAGTAGACAATACCTCGCAAGCAGAAGAGATGAATTAAATTTATGATTACACCAGGAGTAAATCAATTCACAAGAAGAAATGGAAATATATATACAAGAGCCACACTATGGGCTCCTGCCGGCCCTGTTTTCAGATTATGAAATAACTTGTGTCACAGTTTTAGTTGATAGTGTTTTTATTGTCAAAATCATTTTGAAACAGACATAATGATTGACCCATAGTGTTACTATTTTAAATGTATCATTTAGCATGTCTGTAACTTGAATCATTACTTATATGAGAATGGCAGTATCCCATGTGATGCACGTGTTAATACTTACTGCACATGTTAAGCTGATTCAGGGTTTTTATATATTTAAATATTTAACCATGTGATCCTAGACTTTCTATTGGGAATCCCTTCGTTCCTCTGCTCTAATCAAACAAATATACACAAAGAAGTGTATCACTACTGCACAGGCACAGATCCAGAGTTTACATCTTGTGATTTTATAGCATATTATTCTCACAGCTGTAATAGAAAACATATTTGCTTATTGTCCCTTTGCTAAGTAGAGCCCTGATGCTTTCACCAGTGAATTTGCATCTTCTGCTGCTGCTGCTGGTCGTGTCCCTGTGTCACGGAACAGACCTGATCTGATTTGTTTAAACGAATTTGCCTGTTTGAGCTCTGCCCCTCACACACACACAAACACACACTGTTCCATCTGTCTATAAGCAATACACAAACTATTACTACTGCAACTACTGTATATTGTGATTTTGCTCTTTATAAAGATTTAAAGTTAAATTGTCATTAGTTCTTGGCTTTTTTCATCCCCGCTGTATGAAGGGGAGGTTCCGCTGGTCTTCCCTTCCTGCTGCTGTCACACTGTACAACGAATAAGTTGGACTAACAAACACTGTCGACCTGACATCATGTCGTGCACAGTGCGCCTGTGCAATAAACTGGACTAATGTCAGAATGTACAATATAGAACCACATGTGGCACTGTCACTTTCACCTTATTCACTTTGTCCCAGAGCCTCATGCTGCTAACATGTACAGATGTATACTCACAATATGTGTAGATGTATACACACAACATGTACAGATGTATACACACAGCTACTGTATATATTTCTTGCACTTGAGTATTTTATACTTCTTAATCATGCTAAAGTCAGGGGATTCGGTACTTAAGTCTTGCTTCTTCATTATGCTGAAGTTGGAGATTTTAGACGTCCTTCCATATTATGTTAAAGATAGAGATTTTATATTGCTTAATTTTATGCTAGAGTTAGATATTTTATTTTATTTTAGTATAGAGTTATTATTCATTTATCTTGTGCTGTGTGCTCCCCACTGTGGGATGAATGATCTTAATCTCTTTTGAGTTGAATTGGAAGCTCCAGTGTTCATAAAATGTGGTAACTATAGAAGGCGGGGCTTATCATGTATGCAGCTTTGAACAGGAAGTCGACGAAAGGTTTTGATTTGCAGAATACAGTGAAGAAAATCTATTCTATTCTTGTATATTTTGTGTATTTACATTTTTTTTACACTCTTACATTTTGTCTGCACCATATGCCAGAGCAAATTCTTAGTTTTTGACTTTCTGTTACTTACAGTGACTAGAGAAATGATTCTGATTAATATTAGTATAACTTTAGAAATATTCAGGGAATATTAATATTAAGAGATCCTTTATTTGTCCCAGAATGGGGAAGTCCTGTGTCACCGGTTGAAGAACAGTAGGAATGAGGAGCACCCAACACAAGATAAACAATGGCTCCATTCTAAATACAATAACATGCATTCTCTAACTTTAGCATTAAAAAGAAGCAATTCTAACATTTTTAGCTTTAGCGTAATAAGGAAGCAAATCTAAAATCTCCAACTTTAACATTATAAATAAGCAGATATAAAATACAATTGTGTATGTTTTAGTGCAAGAAATATATAGTTGTTTGTATACATCTGAAAACGTTAGCAGCATTGGCTCTGGGAGAAAGTGACCACAACATGCTGTCTTCATGTTATTAGAAAACATGTTATCTTTTGCAAACTTGTAAGAAAGAGTCCCATGAGTCCCTATTTGAAAGTTTGGGGCTGAGAGCTGATTGGCTCAGTCAGCGTGGTCCAGGCTCTGTTTCACTTCTCTGTCTGAAAAGCCAATCTAAAGATGTGACAAGGTCCAAAAAAAAATGCATAGAGAAATTAGAGATAAGACTAGACTTTATCACATTGTTCACTTTGTTGCGGTTTGAAAGTCAGGTACCCCAGCTTTAATGTCACACATCAAAACCAAGTCCCATGTGTTTATAAATTGCTATCTCAGTCCAATCCATCACTGACCGCCCTTTGAACACTCTCACAGCAGTGCACACAGAGGGACCCAGGGCGCCAGTGCCAAATGTGCCGCGTCCTTCCAGCATTTTTCCCCGACACAAAGAGCTCTTTATGGGGTGGGAAGACAGTGACGTAGCCCTGGAACCCAAGCCTGCAGCTGCTGTGAGTGTGTGTGGAGAAGACAAGAGGAGAAGAGAGACAGAGGACTTCCTGTGGTTCAAAATGAGGGGAGAAAAAAAAGAAACAGGAAAAAAAGAGTTGAGGCCAGTTTAAATTTAAATGAGCCAATCAGAGATAGGGCATAAGGCGGGACAAGATTTGAAATTCTGTTACAGCGAAATTGAATGGGAGGAAAAACAAAATTAAAACAACCCCCCTAGCTCTATGAAGTCCAGTAGGGAAGTGTTCATGGGCAAAGTTTTGCTCCAACTCTCTGCTTCCTATTGACTGGCATTAAACTCACACAACGCGATTAGTGAGCTAGCTCACTAATCGCGTTGTGTCTCACTTGCCCTTTTGGTCGGAGGGTGTTGGTCAAAGGCTCTGATGCGCCAGTGTGTTCGCCGTCTCGCTTCCATCATCACCGTGTGTGAATGGAAAAATAACTGAACATTGTAAAGCGCTCTGGGTGACCTTGGTGAGCTTTGCTATATAAATCAACATTAATTATCACTTATTTACTTACTTACATACTTTTTGGCATTAATATATAAATTTTTCCCATTAGCAAATCCTGTTTAAATAGTCAGAATATACATAGATAAAAAAAAAACAAAAAAAACACTTGATTCAAGCAATTATTACCTCATATTGTATCATTTTGGAAGTGCAAAAGGGGTCGGTCAGTCCAGTCCTGATATTTTCACATTCTTGTATGAAAAGTAAAAAAAAGGAACCATTCTTATTCAACCAATCAGCTCTCAGTATAACACTGGTCTCTCTCACAATTATGCAAACATTCGAATAAGTTGATGACAGCATGTTGTGGTCTGGGACAAAACATTGTAATATTTATGAACGGAACTAAAGTTAGGTGTACCAGCTTTAAGAACAAAATTTCCCCTGCCCAAAGTTTTTGAAAAGCTCTTGAGAAGTACTTCATAAACAATTCAAACACTACAAAGCACACGATAGAGATGAGAGAGGGTTGCTTGTCACAGTAACACTCACTCACTATCGGCCTCTGGACCTCTTGATCCTTGCCCTCCTGACCTGGGTTTCTGGTGTTAGCTTACTCCCCGTGTCCCATAATGCCTTGCTCTCAGTTCTAACATCTCTATCATGGTCTGTCTGGTCAGTGTGACTCAGCGGACAACACTTCCTCTGACAGGAAACATGAGACAACACTTTTAAATGGACATGAGGAATTTCCATACTCTTTAAGAATGAGCGGTGTCTCTGAGCGCTGGTTCGAGTATTGTTTAGTGTAGTAGTAGCTGTAGTAGTCGTAGTAGTAGTAGTATAAGTTGTAGTATAGTATAGTACAGTTGATTAACCAAAACAATCATGGTTTATCACAAAACAGACATGTCAATACTGTTTGTATATATGCTAAATGTACACTGTTATGTTATTATTGCTATATTGTTTGGTGCTGGTCCCCTTATTGTAAAGATGAAATTTATAGTTCATAGTTGCGTGGTTAATTGGTTCT